TGGCGTGTTTATGATTTATGCTATTTTTTATTCCGGCCTGTATCTTTTCAAAATTCATAATATTTTTTAAAATATTGTATTCATAATGTTTTCTTTTCAAATACTGAATTAGTGGCTTCAAAGGTATTTTGATATTTCTAAATTAATTATTAAAGTTTGGAATACATTTAAAAAAATAGAGAAATTATTTGTTAGCTTATTTGTATTTGTAAGCTTAACGTTTTGATGAATTAATCTTATTGAAAATTAACATTTATCATATACATAAATCAAAAATATTAAGTGCTTGAAAAGGAAATGGTTTGCTTTAAGCGATAGCTCTTCTGTTTAACAATGTTTAATATTAAATATTTTCATGGTTTTCCCCATGTGTAACGTGTATACGAGCCAGTTTCCCTTAGAAAGTCCTCCACGAAGGCAGCCCTCCTCTTAGGCAGATAGCCCTCGAGGCTTTGCCATAGTTATACACACACACACACACACACACACACACACACACTTTCTTAATTACTGCACTTTTTCGATTCCTGTTCTTTACTGTAAAAATTCCATTAAATATACTCGAGAAAGTATGCGTTTCTATAAAACTCAAAAAACAGGATTTCAAATTTTTGAATTATGCAAACAATTAATTCTATTTGCTTTACTTTCATCTGTTTTTATAGACTAAATTCTATTGTGTAAAAATTCTGTTATAACCATGTCATATTTCTAATCTGGCTAAGAAAGCATCCTGTTAAAGAAAAATTCAATGGGATTTCAAAATTTTATAAGAAAATGCATTTGAACTTTAAGCAAATATTATTTATTACTCAACGGCAATAACTTATGATTTTTTTCTTTGATAAAATGCAGTGGTGATTCAAATTTATCAAATATATGTACACATTTTCAAGGAAAGTTAATTGCATCTTAAAATTGCAGTATACTTTAAATAGAAGATAATTACATATTCAAAAGAAAACTGTCAATATATAGGACATAGTAAAGTGGGAACTCAAAAACGTTTCAAATGGAATATAATTAAACTATAAATTTAATTGTGCATAATGCGTTTTCTGTTTTGCTTTGGTTTATTTGGTAACTTCAAAGCACGTTACGGTTATTTGTCTATGAGCAGGGATGCCTTTGTGAAGAACTTCCTAAGAAAACCTGGGTCGCTTACTCGTTAACATTTGGAAAACATGAAAACACCCTTGCAGCCAGCCCGCTTGCCTGGAATCAAACCCAGGTCGAAACTAGTGTTCAGCGACCTAACCGCTCGGTCGCTTGTGGGCCTTTGTGTAATGCGGAACCACAGTTAATCTGGAAGAGAAATTTTGACTATATTATTTTTTTGGATAAGCTATCCGCAGTCTGGATTTCATAAAATAGAGCATTTTTCATTTTTGGCAGTAATATTACACTGGTGGACAAAATTAAGTGATGAAAATCGTTTACCTACATTTCTCCTAAAATACCACACAAAACCTGGACAGTTGGCTGTCATATAATATCACTGTGGCGGTGGTGGCGCTGAGATGAGTCTACGTAGTCCTGTGAGCTTCGCTACGCTAGCAGGTGGTGTAGAAGTCCACGTCCATCTACTCAGTTCATTTCGCTCTGCAATACGGTAGTGATTTTTACTGTCTTCGTTTTAATAATCTTGTTGTTTTTTGGTGTATTTTATTCGAAATGAATTCACGTCATCGTTTAGACGAAGGTATGAGCAGAAGAATCGCGGGTAGATTTGAAACAGGGCAGTTCCAAGCTCAGGTTGCAAGAGAACTGGATGTAGCATCAAATATTATCTCTAATTTGTAGAGTCAGTTTTAAAAACAGCGGAATAATGCCCAGAAGACCAGGACAAGGTCGCCCGAGAGACACAACGACCCATGACGACTGGTATTTGGTACTTTCAGCCAAACGCCAGAGGCCTACATCTACAGCCTCGTAACTATATTGTGACTTCGCTTCTGCCACAGGAATATCAGTATAAGGAATGAATACAATTGCCAGAAGTTTTATTGAGACAGGACTGTATGTCAGAGATCCCGCCATTTGCATCCCACTCGCTCTCTCTTACAAAAGAGAACTTTTACAATGGTGCAGCGGGACAGTGATCCAAGGAAGGACTACTCATGACCCAGCTGCATCTTGTGCTGCCATACATAATTAAACGATCCAGACGGGACACCAACCCACCGAACAGTCCGCAGGGACTTCTCATGTTCATTGCCACAATCCATCACACTGAGGACTGCGCGGGGAGCCGCCCCCCCCCGGCACAGCCCTTAAATCTACATGAGAGCGTCCCCACAGCGAAGGCAACGGACACGACAGTACCAGTACGGTCCCTGCCAAGCCTGCGCCTACCATAGGATGGACCTATGGTTCTAGTCCTGTGAAGTCTGATTATATACCCTGTAGACTCATTAGGACTTTTTGAGAGGCAAGAGAGATGAAAAATTAACAACCGCCTTCGCCGGGAATCGAACCACGGACCTCTGGAATACCGGTCTCAGCATGCAGAGCAGCACTAACACCACGAAGGCACGCTAAGAAAGGCGGGAGAAATACCTTATATACTCCCCTTTTTTAAGGGGCGACTAGGGTTTTAGGAGGACCCATAGTCGCCAAATCCTTGGATCGAGGAGAATCATCATCCACAACCCTTTTAGTTCGGGCGCCCACTGTAGAGTCATTAGGCATTTTTTGAGAGGCAAGAGAGATGAAAAATTAACAACCGCCTTCGCCAGGAATCGAACCACGGACCTCTGGAATACCGGTCCAGCGTGCAGAACCACTACACTACGAAGGACGCTAGGAAAGTGGGAGAAATACCTTATAACCCAACAAATCGAATATGGCAGGACACAAGTCCAGCTAGTGGTCTGGGAGAACCCCGGGTCTCCTCCCTTTAATGGTCGGTTCCGGAAATTCCCACCAGTCGACTGGACACAGCTTCAGTGGACTAATGTTCTCTCAAGAATGAATCCAGATTCAATCTACAACAGCATTCTCGGCGGTTAGTAATATGAAGTGAACCTGGGACCCTTCATATGGACCTGGACCATATGAATGACCTGGACCTGGATTATATGACCTTCATATGGAGCCTCGGACCATCCAGCAATGCCATAGAAGGGGCAAAATACGGTGGTGGAGGAGGGATGGTCTGGGCAGGGATCATGTAAGATACCAGCACATTACTCCCTGTGTTTGACACTGGTTCCGTGAATGCCAAGAAGTACAGGCAGTACGTTTTTCACGTTTGAATTAAATCGTTTATATTTGCAATAAACAGAAAAACTGTAAGTTAAGGTGGGGTACTCCTCAGGACTTTTCCTACCCTCTCCATTTCTGCCCCACCTGGCTGCTTTGAAAACAGGCAATAACAATCACTTAATAGCAATCAGGAGAGGAAAATCTCGCTACCGGCTCATGTGCAGTGGGGCGTGCGAATCAAACTCTCGCTCTTTCCCTCTTTATCCCCTCTATTTCGAGTGTGGGGAGGACAGTGCGTGTCTCCGTTACTCTTGCTTATTATTCAGGAATGGCGACTTTGGACACCCCCGCCACAAAGTATCGCCTATAACGGCTGGATTGGAACTATTGAGGAGTGTATTGTTCTTTGTGGCTGGCGCTGTTTTGTCTACCGGTTTGGATAAGGGGCGGGAGATGAAGCGAGATCTGTTGATATCGAAGCTCTTGCTTGGCAGTTTAAGCCACAGTTACAAACGGTAATCAATACGTAACTTTGAAATGATTTTTTTTATTAGAGAAATTGCAATGTCATGAAATATATATATTTATAATTAAACATTGTTAAACAGAAGAGCTATCGCTTAAAGCAAACCATTTCCTTTTCAAGCACTTAATATTTTTGATTTATGTATATGATAAATGTTAATTTTCAATAAGATTAATTCATCAAAACGTTAAGCTTACAAATACAAATAAGCTAACAAATAATTTCTCAGTATTTTTTTTAAATGCATTCCAACCTTTAATAATTAATTTAGAAAAATCAAAATACCTTTGAAGCCACTAATTCAGTATTTGAAAAGAAAACATTATGAATACAATATTTTAAAAAATATTATGAATTTTGAAAAGATACAGGCCGGAATAAAAAATAGCATAAATCATAAACACGCCATAAGACTTAAAAAATAAAAATTTGCAATTTTTGACATGTGAATTGTCCAAAAACATGTAAAACAAAAGCAATGAATGAGTGAAAATTTGGTCAAAAAATATGGTTTTGTTTATTTAATTACGGCAAAGCATACTAGCGCTATCTGCCTAAGGGGAGGGATGCCTTCACGGAGGACTTTCTAAGGGAAACTGGCTCGTATACACGTTACACATGGGGAAAATCACGAAAACGCCCATGCAGCCAGCCCGTTTGCGGGATTCAAACCTCGGACTGAACTACCAGTGTTCAGCGACTTTACAGCTCGGCCGCTTGATGGGCTATCAAAAAATATGAAATGAAAAATAAAAATAGAAGATCTGGTTCTTAAAATCTGTAACACAAGAGGAAAAAAAAAGTTTTGAAATGAAAAAATATATTCACCTGTATAGTAGCAAAGGCAAAATGACCAGTAATCAATTTAGAAAAACTACAAATTTTAAACTGATTAAACTCAGTACGAATAATTAGAAAAGAATTCTACTGTAACAAAAAAAAATAAATAAATAAAATAAATAAATAAAAAAATAAAATAAAAATAGAACAATTAAGAAAAAGGAAAAACATAGAATTACTGGGCTAAGAAGTTTTCTTTTTTTTTTTTTAAATTTTGTATTTATTCTTCCCCCCCCCAACCTCCTATCATGAAATTGCAAAGTGGTTTTCCACAACAGTGAATAAAATTCTTTTGTTTTAACTAGGACTATTGAAATCATCCCCAAAACCAGTTATCCCTAGGGCAATGTATTTTACTTAATACTTGGATCGCAAAAAAGAATATTACATGTATTTCAATTAATTAAACGTGTTTTCTTTTAGATCCAGAAAACACCGAGAGGCGAGAACATCAGCGAGGGGATGGAAGTGAACATTCTGCGGTCCATCCTCCCCCTCTGGTACCCATCCATAACAATGAAGACCCTGCCAGGGATCAAGGTTCAGCTCCTAAGTGTTTTGCCTGTGATATCGACTTTCCAGACCATTACAGGTGAGCTTTGCTTTTGTGTAATCCTTTATATATGCATAGTGTCCGGTAAGTCGACTATCATAAGGATCAAAAGTCCTATAATTAGGTAGTGGGTGACCTTCATGACTCAGACCTTCATGAAGGCTGTTCATATGCCGTGTGTTGAATGTCTTTCTACTAAATACAATTTGTTTGCATTCACCTGGAAGTGTTGGCTAAATCGAGTAGATTACTGCTACGCAACGCGGTGGTATAAAGGACATTTCCGTCTTACCATCAGTTTGATCTTGCTTTCATCAAAGGTTTGTTATTTAGAGTTGGAACATGGACAGAATCCGTGTGTTAGAGTTGGAACATGGACCAAAGGAAATCATTTTGAAGGCATTCAGCAAAATGACTTATGATGCTGCAGTTATCGTATGCCGTATGATTATCGAATGCAGTACCGTTATCATATGCCGATTTATGACTATGATGTTGCAATTATGGATCCAAGGAATATTGAATTTTTTATGTCCCAAGTAGGGAATTTGTTATCCATGCTTATGCAACGTTTCTGATGCTTCCCTGCTATGGTTATGCACAGCAGGATCATTAATTTGAAATATCTGTTGCTCCCATTTGAGTATGTATTATTTGTAATACATACTCAAATACATACCACCACAGTTACAGTACATTATCTGTAAGTGCAAGCCTAGTACCTTGTTTTCCGTAATGGGCTATGAGATAAGAGAAGAGGAATAAGAGGTTTGGAAAGAAGTGAAAATAGGTTGTTTTATCTATATAAGATTTAATTGAGTAATTTTTGTGTTAGAAAATTTACTCAATAACTGCAAGAAGACTAGCTAAAATTATTTCTGAAAATATTCTAATCCTGAAAATTGAAATTATTCCCATTTTTAAGCAAATCTTTAATTTAAATCACAATAAAATTCCCGTTGGTTTTGTTATTACTCGAATTAGAGCATTTTCATCAATTTCTTTGATCATCATAACCGCCTGTATGAGTCATGCTTACATATCATACAGATTATATTATTAGGGCCAAGAATACGGATCAGTAAAACTGCAAATGAATAAAGGTTATCGGTTTTAACGGCATAAGTAAATGCTTTCTTTTATAGATATTCCTTATGATGCTGTATTTGTTCCAACCATGGCCATAAGCTTTAAGAGGGGGGGAAAAAAACTGCAGAGGACTATGAAAAAAATCAAGAGAAACCATTCATGGTAATCGATGTAGCACGTGCATAGATGGCTGCCTGCAATAAACAAACCCAAGATGGCGTCGCTTTCTTTCTGGCGGAATATCCGATGATCCGTGAAGTGGAATAATTGGATCTCGCTTTCGTTTTCTAATCCAAGTGATTGAGGACGACTTTTAGTGAGCCCTGCTGCCCTACTGCGTGTTTCCGATACGGCCACTGCCTTCCTCCGATTGAGTGAGGCATTTACTTTGCCAGCGGTCGAATCTAGACCGCTGATAGAAAGCGATATATGCGACACGTACTAATTGTGTCTTTCTCACCAGCTTAGTTAACGGCTTCACTTTTTTGTATCCGCTAATGATCAAGTGAATTCAGAAAACATTATTTGCATAACTAAATGAACAAAGCAAAGTGTAATATGCTCATGAGACTTTATGGTGTAAATCAGAAACGATATAACTGCAAAGGATTTTCATTAACGAATTATTTCAAAATGAAGGGGGAAGTTATAATTTGTATGATATAAATTTATGATATCTTCATTATATGAAAGATAATTTAAAGTTGTATGATATAAAACTTTCATCTTTCTGCTCGAGCGACTACAAAGAGAAACTAAAATATTCCATCTTTTAACTTACGACTTAATATGCTCAAGGTATACGTTATTTGGTAATTTTCCCGTAAAGCAATACTAGACATTTTTGGCTTCATATTGGGGTATTTTGTATATATTATACAAAATATCCCAATTATGAAGTCCAAAGTTTATTAGTCCAAATGGGCTTTGTCCCTGACGGACTATTGTTTTCGTTTTACGATTTTGCGTCGAATCACTCTGAATGTCCGTTTTACTTTTCAAACTGTTGCCACTAAATATTATCGCCCTGTATTATATTTTGAAGAAATTAAATAATGAAGAATCTGCATTAATGTACGTATTTATGTTTCACGCATTGTGATAAAACACCGCTACGTAGAGCCATCCAATTTTGAATTAGGTAATCCTCCTGCGAATATGGGCATCTGGAAGCCCATATTTGAAATTTGGAATTTGTTTTATTATCGATTTCATATTTTGTAAAACTTTAACGAATTTTTGATTAACAAACTCAAGAATTTCAAAGCGAGCAATGGCAACGTTGTACAGGAAAAACATTTTTATCTCCAGCGCGCGAGAATGTATATAGAAAATTCTAAAGATATGCGAATTTTAAAATTATTTTGCGATATTGCTCTTGAACTGCATCAGTGCGAGAAAAATAATATTTAATAAATAAAGGTAACACACAAAAAGTTAAAAAAACGCGCCTTTGGATGTAATTTAAAATCTGAAACCTTTCAGATTTTATTATTATTATTTTTTTTTTTTCCTCTCTCTCTCAAAACTGTAAAACCAAGATAACCGACTAGAGCTGTGCATCCTGTACATGTTCTCATTAAAGCACTGTTTGAGCTTGAAGATACTTCTGGCAAAAGAAAACTCGCACGTAGAAGATGAAAGGATTCATAAAGTTGTTCCTTCTCTCATTTAACAGCATTGTTGTTTGCTCTTATAAAGCAAAAGTACAAAGGGGAAACTTAGTTCTATTGAAATGTGGTAGAAAATATGATTCTGGATACCGTTACATTTTTGTATCCCATTTATTTGCAAAAGTACAAGCTTTTGTAACAGAAAAATTAATATCATACTTTAAAGAGAAAATTTTTACATTAAAAATTAGCTTTAACATTTCATGAAATTATAGCTTGAAAGTTAGATTTTTTTAAACCTTGTAAAGTTCTTTTGTGTTAAGTAACTAGTTAGTTTATGTTTTGGATCTTTACTGTAACTTCTCTCTTCCGTTCCCCCCAGCCATAATTCAAACTAATTCGCTTCTGTTTAAGGTTAGGTTTTTAGATTGTAAGACAGAGCCTATTCGGCCTCTCAAGAACACATTACTAGATTGCTAGATCAGATAAGATTTGTAGTCTTCGGCCTTGCATTGAATCTCCACTCCGGTTAAATTGAGCCAACTTAGCGTTAAATTGATTTGTGTAGCCTTTAGCTTTTACGTCTCACTGACTGTTACTGTAAGTTACAACGCCCGAAGTAGTTGACTAGTTTGTGAGCACCAGGTGTGCCTTCTGTTCTCCGTTTTAAATGAAAGACTCTTTTACACCCTTCTCAAGTTTCGCTTGTCATTTCAGTCTAGCGATAATTTGCTTAACATCTACTGAGAGTTTGTTCACTATTGAATGACTGCAAAATGTACTTTGGTACATTTTATAACCTCAATATTACTATCCGTAAATTTTGCTCTGGACGTTGACCAGTAATTATTTAACAAAATAACAGCAATAAAGTACTGGCTTTTAAAAACGTGACGTTTAAAGAAAATAACAAATGAAAAAAAGACAAGGAATGTTAGATGCTGGTGCTGCAAAATAAGGCGTATGAATGAATCATCTTGAATGCCACTGGTTTTGTAAAAATTCGAGTTACAAGGATTGAAAAATTAAAGCTATATCAAATTAATAAAATGTATCGCCTGACCCTTAGGATGGTTTACGATGCGCACTTTAATATTTGGTTAAAGACGCACACTTTAGCTTTTGGTTAAAGGCGCACGCTTTAACTTTTGGTTAAAGGCGCACACTTTAGCTTTTGGTTAAAGACGCACACTTTAGCTTTTGGTTAAAGGCACGCACTTTAACTTTTGGTTAAAGGCGCACACTTTAGCTTTTGGTTAAAGACGCACATTTTAGCTTTTGGTTAAAGGCGCACATTTTAACTTTTGGTTAAAGTCGCACTCTTTAATACTTTTGGCTCGCGCCGGATTAGAATCTATAAACGAACATAAAGATGAAGGCAGATACGCAAAATTCGGTAGAGAAAAGTGTGTGAAACATTAAAGAGGACACGTTAAAAAAAATAGATCAAATGAAAAACAATTAATTAAAGCTACATGTGTGTAACATATTCTAATAATCTGAGATAAAAAGAAAAAAAAAAAAGAGTTTTGTTTTTTATAATTTTATTTGATATCTCAGTACTATGTAAGGGCGAATCTGGTTGGCTAATATTTACTAGGATATTAGGGAAGACTAGCATCGGCTTCGGCAACTCAATATACCGCTGAGGTATTTTGCTTTAATTTAAGTTCTTTGCTTTAAGGTTTGTTGAGAATAATAGATTTTTTCAGTGGGAGAAGCTCGAAAATTCAACAATGTATTTATTCACTAAGAATCGAACCACGGGTCTTTCAGCTGCTAGCTAGATGTTCCACTACTTAAAGACCAATTACCAAAAATGCGGTAAATCCTGACATTTTGCCCCATTTAAATGGCAACTGGGGGGAGACACGACTCCGAGTCGACCAAATTCAGGCGATAACGAATTACGTCGTCCGCCACATTTTAGTTTGGCAGCGAGTGTAAGGAATATCTGATTTTTCAGAGCAGGAAGAGTAGAAAATCAGCTCTACCCTCACTGGGGTTCGAACCATGGATCTTGGAATAGCTAGTTTCACGTGCTAACACTCGCACCACAAAAGCCCGCGGCGAAGGGGGAAAAGGGTAATTGCTTACATCTTTATGACCAGGTGATGAAACTCTGAATTCATCGTCTGTCGTTCTAACGAGGTGCAAGTTTTAACCTTTAGGCCAAAATCAATTAAATTTGTTGGACGAAATCACTTAGTAGGGTTGTAAGCCGAGGAAATAAGATTGTAAGTTGGAGGAAACTCGTTATTGTTAAAATATGATAAATAATAAAAGGAATTAGATGCACTCTAAAATCATTCCATCGGTGAACTAATGACATGTTTA